GTGGAATGCTGATTGCAGTGTAGATTCTGGTGTGTGTGAGATAAGTTACATTGCGATATACTATTGCAATATTGGGAGTGCTGGGACAAGCTAGTCTGCTTGAGAGTCTAGACAGGTGCTTAAAACATGAGTGACCGCTGATCTAGGGGGATGTAGTGGAGTATGTTGAGTAAATGAGCGGGTGGGTAGGCTGCTCTGGTTGGTTAATTCAGTTAGCCCTTTTGTTCATAACTATGTTGGACATATCGGCACAGGACTCCTAGTTTCAGCATCCTTAGAGTCATTGTAGAAGTCAAAGGGGAAGGGCTAGGAAATAATTACATCGCAAGAGGAATCACTGGGCTCTCTGAGACCTCTGTCTATACGTGTGTGGGTGTCAGGGCAGTGGCGACCTGATCATTGACCGGTTTAATATCAGTCACTACGTGACCTGTCTGTGTGGTAGTAAGTCGTCTAACTGTGAGTGGGTGTTGCGTGCAGAGTGGCCAGGCTAGGTATCGTGCGCTGCCTCTCTATACATGCGACATGCAAAGAATATTTCTGAACAAACTAACCAGAACTAAAAATTAAACACGTTTGTAACATGGGCCACAGGGTATCTGGAATTGTAGTTATAGATACGTCCATACATGTTAGTCTAGTGACACACTGTGGTATGTAAATCTACATTTATCATGGCAACAGACGCGACATACATGACAGAGTGATATTGGTAAGTGATCGCTATCTAGTCCAGACTGGCAAAGAAAAACGAGTGCTCTGCTGCATTATCGTGGGAGCTCCAAAAAGGCCAAAAATAAAAATAGAAATAAATAAAAGGAAAAGGCAAAAAAGTCTCTGTTAACAGAAGTTTGTGGACTTCGGGTTTCTCATTTTTTTACATATACTTATTTATTTTTTTAAATATTTCCTTTCAAAACTTAATTAAAATGATTATTATATTAAAAATAGTTTTGAGTTGTCAGCTGTCCTTTAATTTAATCATAGAAAAAAAGCAAGATGGTCATTTGCTCATCTATATAAAATGTTGCCAAATTAATCTGAAAATATGTAGTAGTTACGTTATTTATAAAGAAATATGATCAAGAACAAAGCTTGTAAGCTAAGTAATCTAGAGATACAAGGAAGACTAAAAGACCATTACATCAATTATACAAAAACAGTTTTTTTATGTTTGTCTTTTTTTTCTATATTTCTTAAGTTTTCAGACACAATATAAGTATATAGCTGCTAAGGGAGCAGCATATCTGTCCTCTGAGTCACTTGCTGCAATTTGATGGTACATTTATTATAATGGCAAATCATCTTTTAAAATACATGAGAGTTAGTTGAATACAGAAGAATCTGGAGCAAATAGCTGGATGAAAAGGTCATATCTGCTGTCGTGTTTTATTTATTTATTTATTTGTTAAATCATCTCTACTCTAATATTGGAATAGAGAAGAACTTCAGGTATTTAACATTAAGTATGTTGACCAATAATAAAATGGAAAGTTCAGAAGCATGTTAGAGCCATCAAATAGAATATTAGTATGTTTATGGTGAAGCAATTCTGTGCCTCTTTAAAGGTCAACAAACTAGTATGTATAAACAACTGACATAAATTAACAAATAATAAAATTAAAGATACGTAGAAGACAGTCTATCTGTCTCTCGAAATATCTGTCTTTCGATATACGTTTCTGTATATGTATGTCTGTTTTAGTCTGTGTGTTTCTGCCACTAACTGTTAGTCTATGTCTGTGTCTTTCTGTCTGCCTACTGTCTTTCTGTGTCTATTTTTCAATCTTTGTTTTCCTGTCTATCTCAATAAGTCTTTTTGTCTATCTCTGTCTGTCTGTTTCAGTTTGTCTTTCTGCCTGTCTGCTGTCTATCAATCAACATTGTTTTCACACAATTAAAAAAAAAATGCTTATGTTTGTATTGAACACGTTTCCATTGAAACTAAATATATTTCCTAAACCACCAAAACAGTGGCTTAGTTTTAAAGCTTGAATAGAAAAATAAACAATGTTCTAGGGTTATGATCTAAATCAGAAATTGTTCTATAGATATTATCTTCTTCATCTGAACACACAGTGTGCCACTTCATTAAATTATAGCAATGTCATTTATGAGTGCTATGGCAAGAGGCTCTGTAGCAATTTAATAACATAACGGTATTAAACAGATCAGTGAACAAAATCAATGTAACAGTTGGAAACAATATCTATAATGTGATAGAAAATACCAGACATAAGTGATGAGATAGGTGAAGCAATGTGGAACATTCCAGCACAAATAAAACCACACAATTCTGAAAAAATCATTTAGATTTTATTTTGTAAAATAAGTAGAAAAAACTCTTTTGACTAAGTGTAAGTCATTACATTTGGCTAAAATCAGAATGTTTTTTTTTCCTAATACTAAATAAATCACTAAGAGGCTCTATAACGAATTTGCATTGCCCATTTTTTATATACTTATGTATGTATGTATTTATTTATTTATTTTTAAAAGCCTTTCTTTTCAGTATTTTTAAGTCAGATTTTAGGAAACAGCAACTGTTTTTTTTTTTAACATTGAAATGCTATTTAGCAGTCTGCGTACTGTAGCTCTACGTTGAGCGACAGGCTGAGGAAGAAAAAGTAATAATTATATTAATATTAACTAATATCTACTACTAGGACTACCACAAAAAAAAAAAAAAGAAATATGTTTATAAAACACCAAGCTTGCCCACAATGAGAGCTTACAGGAAAATGGAAGTATTTAGATGCCTTTGAGTTTTCTATATGATTCTCTCTTACGTTGTGATTGGATAATTATACACTTGGTGTCAGAGAGCAAAGAGGTATGTGATAAAATGGAATAAAGTTATAGTGTCTTTTTATTTATATCATATATAAATACTCTATACAGCTTTTGATATGAATAGCATATTATGTCTGAATTTTTCGAAAAAATCCACCACCTGGAACATACCCCACAATCTGATTCTGCCCTAAAGGTTCTAATTATAGAGTGTTCCTACGAGATGTTATTGTGAGTCTGCAGTGCCATCCTGGACATGTCTGAAGTGTTCTTTATTAAAGAAGAATAATTTAAATGAGTGTTATTGATCCTTTGTATTTTAGAAGTATGTAAGTGTAGCTAAGCAAACTTTTTGCCAGCCTTTGTTGAGGACAGCCTCCAAGGACGTTTTGCGCCATAGTATTATAAAGCAATGATGACAACCTGGGGGGGGGAGCTTGAAGTAGACACATCTGAGGAACTTTGTCAACATCATCCGTATGTACCACTGCCACTATCATGACTTATTGAGAAGATCTTAATTTGGTGGTATCTCACAGAACAACACTATTGTTTTTGTGTGAGTGATCCATGTTCTGTGGCTCAATTTTAGAAAAATAATCAAGATTAAGCTTGTGGGCGATGTTTTTCTTATAATTATTGTTGTGAGAGATATTTTTCTTATGTTTTTCTTCACCTACAACTTTCACCTACAGGTTGAGCTCTTTGGATGTTGTCTGATATGGTATGCAAGACACTAAACTACAAAACTGTTAGAGCAATTATAATCAAAAAAGCATTGCAGTAATGTGGTTACATATGTCAATTTGGTAGAAAGCCTGCTAGAGAAAGAATATGCATGTGATATATATATCTCAAACAGAAAGATTATTCTTGTGGGAGGTCAACATTATGCAAGTTTGGAAGAAATGGTGATGAGTAAATATTAAGTTGAAATTTCTTTATTATTTTATTATTTACATAGTGCCAGCAAATTCCGTAGCGGTGTACAATGGGTAATTCATGAAAGACATATCTAAAAGGAATGCTACTCATCAATACATTTATTTTATATATGCAATATATATATAGCTAATATATATATATAAGAAAATCCAAATACCAGAATATTGCAACATGCAATGATATATTTTTATTGGACTAACATAATACTTAAAAGACAAGCTTTTGAGGGTTTTTCTCTCTTCTTTAAGTCTATCATATTGATCAGTATTGATTCAGACCCGAGAAACAGAGGAAGACTCTTGAAAGCTTATCTTTTAAGTATTATGTTAGTCCAATAAAAAAGGTATCATTGCATATTGCAATACTCTGGTATTTTGGCATTTTATCTACTGGACTAATATCTAAAACGGCTAATTCAATCTACAATATCTATATCTATATATATACATATACAGCCATTCATGTATGCAAATGCAATTTATAGCATTAACACAAAAATTCAAAGGAAAGGTTAACCCATGAGACTTAATAATATTTTAACAAAGATTTATTGCAGGTAAATTTGCAATTGATGTTTCAGTCAAGTCTCTAGTCTTTCATCAAGTAAACGTCTGGAGAGTAGAGTGAATGTCAGCTGCAAATTTCCCTGCTATAAATCTTCATTAAAAAACGTAACAGTCTGGTAAGCACACATTTATTGTTCAATACTCAATGTATCAGGCATCACTTCTATGTGTTTTGCTGTTTCTCAATTATTGTGACTTGTGACATTGTATACATGTTTGATGCCAGGCATTGTTTATGAGTGTGAGAGCCTAGTGCTCTCCTGTATTACCTATCCCCCGGTTCTTTTGTCCCCTTTTGAATGTATATTCCATTTGTTCAACTATTCTCTCTTTTTGATAAAGACAATAAGCTACATTTAGCACTTGTTGACTGAATTCTAATGAAACTTTACAAATCTTACCATCTCTTGTATGCTACTCTACCTTGATAATACTGCCCTTGTCTTAATTGCTTGTACTTTTCTAATCCCATTATCTTTTATCCTGAATACAATACAAGTCCAATCTTTGTTTCAGTCCTAATTTGGACCTGACACGTTGAGTGTCTTGTTTCAGGGCCTATCATGCATCCATAATTAAAGATTCCAGTGTCTTATGTACCAAGACTGAATGTGAACCCATCTTTGTTAACTGTAATCCACCCTTTGACTGGTCTTATTCAGACCTGAATATATCCATGGTGGACCATGAAAATGACTCTAAATTGTCCTCATTGTACATGCTGTGTGTATTTGTCTCACTTACACAGCGCATGCAATGTGGACATATTAGATGTCAAAGGCAACTCTGGCTTTCAAGATCACGAATACATCTGTTTAATTTATACAATTTTTATTATTATTAAATGAAATGTATGACTTAAAATGTACTGTAATTATTTATATTTTATAAAATGGTAAGGCCGAGATAGCATGAAATACTATAGTAAGTCTATCTATCTATCTATTTCCTGTTAGAGTAACTTTAATTGAATAGTATTTTTATATTCTGCTAAAACTGTTATAATACAATTAACTTTATTTTCATATACTTAGCACTACTATTATAAGTAAATGTGAGTGGGTGGACTTCTGCTGTCTATTTCACTGCTGTATTTTTATTATATGATCTATATTTGTTAAACAATATAATATAATGCTGGTAGGAGAGAGAAGCTAAGAGGAAATGCAGGTTTGAAAGACTGGAAAGGTGTGGTATTACTTACATCCACCGAGCCGCGCAGACCCCCTTCTGCCGCACGGTCTGACCACTACACGCGACCTCCCAGCACACTGAGGAACACTCAACTGCCTCAATCCTAGTCGACCTCCTGCCACGTGCAATCGCTCCTCAACTGTGCAGCACACTGAGGAAGACTCACCTCTCTCTAGCCGACCTCCTCCTGCCGCATGGTCTGATAAACTACGTGGCTGGTGGCAGTACGTCTATATATAAAGTGACCACATCATCATTGCGATCCTAATCTGTTTTGGATCGCAGTGATGATGTGGACCTATCAGAACATAGGTAAGCCTATATAAGGCTTATATTAGCCCCCATTCATTGCCATATTGTGGTTTCTGTTAGAACCTTGTTTAGTGCTCCTAGTGATTCTCTTGTGATTTCCTGTGTTTGACCTGTTTGATCTCCCTAGCCAGCCTCTTCATGCCTGAAATACTTCATTATCAAATGTATGCACACAGTCTCAGCCCCAACACCATTGAGTGAGTAGCTTTTAATTCACAACCTGATTGCAGACAGAGACACCACAAACAGGTAGTGATAATCTTACTGTATCTCCACCTGGGTGTCCTCTCCTTCTAATACAGGTTGTTTTGCAATTCAGATCATTCAATGCTGGGTGCATACATTTTATAAGGAAATCTTATTCTTGGGGGGATGGTGGCTAAATAGGCAGGCTTTTGGAGCAGCATTTTGAAAAACATTTTACAGAGACTAAATGATAACTTGATACAGACACTGAATGATGATTGGGAACTAGAGCAGAGACTGAATGATGATTGGAGCAGAGACTAAATAATAATTGGAACAAACACGGAATAAGATAGAATGAAATGTGTGTCCATCCTGAATAATATAGAAATCACTATTTGGAAATGTGCATGGGAAACCATGTAGACTGCAACTAGAATATAGAAGCGCACATTATATACCCACATAGACGTAGCTCATTGATGGTAATTTGTATGGAGCTATTTTATTATTTCACTTTAACAAAGAGTGCAAGAAACGTTTTGCACCTGTTATTCCACCTTTTACACACACAATAACAATACAAATACATACAATACAAATACTGATTTGTAATTATCTGCTGGCTGTGGGAAGTATAACCTATTATTATTTAGTGTGAAAGCTGATTGTGTGTTTACAGGGTTTAAAGATAAATATGTTTTTCTCTGAGTGCACTTTTAAGCATGAGTTAATTAGGGGAGAGGTTTCATAATTTTCACCTATGTAACCCACAGTAGCAACTCACTAATAGGTTATCTGTCAGTCTATTTTAGAGTAGTCTGTCTTTAAGTAGGAGTCTGAACCCACAGGAGTTTAAACAACACAAAAGTTACAACACACATTTACATTTTGGGATTGTTTTAGTAGGACAAATATGAGTGCCAGCAAGATTAGAAATTTTACTCTGTGCACAGTCAGCTGTGTGTATGCATGCCTGGAATAGTCTGTTCGGGATATATACCTCTATGGCAAATGTGAGCAAGTGACTTCTCTGGAAGCTCAGATTGGAGATCTGGAGAATAAAATTGCAACACTAAGGCTGGTTGACAACCTTGAAAAGGGTTTACTGCTCACTGAGTAGAGTTTTGTGGGGACAGGTAGTGCAGCAGGAGAGATGAGACAGCTGGGGACCTGTCAGGTAGCTGGGTGACAAGATAGCAGAGGGAGAAGGAAAAGGAAGGGTGTTACTAGTCCTGATTTTGTAAACCATAGCAGATTTGAGTCCCAACAGCTTCACTTAAGTGAAGTTGTTGGGACTATCAGCTCAGGAGTGGCTGTGCTGGAGGGAGATGCTCCTTCTAACACTCAGGGGAACAACCTCTCTAGTATGAATTGGATCCAGAATTGAGAAAAGCTAAGCAGGAGGTGGTGGTAGGCGTTTCTATTATTAACTGCATAGACAGGGTAATCTGCCATTCTGATTGCATCAAGAAGAAGACATCCAAAGTGGTACTACCTGTGCCATGTTACAGTGGAAAGGCAGGGCGAGATAAGAGATCAATGAGTGGCTAAAGTCTTGATGTAGGAAGGATGGTTTTAGATTTTTAGAGCACGGGGCGGTTTGGCGCTTGGGCACACTCTTTATAGCTGTGATGGATTGCACCTGAATGGAAGAAGGTATGTTGTGCTTTGGGGAGAGAATGGCTATAAGGTTGGAGGAGACTTTAAATTAGGAGGGGGGAGTCAAAGAAGGGTAAATAGGATACATTGTATAGAAATGAGAGGGAATTCAGGTAAAGACAAAGAGGGTGGAGATGGGAAGAGTGGTAAGATTAGCAGACAGAGCAAGGTATTAATTACATGTTTCTCAAATAAAGCACAATAAACAAATGGTCAACTTTAAATGTCTGCTTGATAATTCTAAAAGCTTGTTTAGGAAAATGGGGGAGCTTGCGATGTTGGCATACAAGTAGCCATATGACATAATTAGGATTATTGCGACTTAGTGGGATGAAACACTTGATTGGGCTATTAATTTAAATGGCTATACAGTATTTAGAAAGAAAAGAAAATAGCAAAGTGGGGGGGTTTATGCCTTTATATTAAACCTGATATGAAGCCAAGTGTTAAAGTAATTGTATGTGGTTACAAAGGTGAGGACATGGACACCTTATGGGTAGAAATGTGCATAGGAAGAAACGGGATATCCATTAATATAAATATGTTACAAGCCCCCAAACATTAATACTGATGGGGAAGAGCAACTCCTATCTCAAAATAATAAGGCCACACATAAGGGTAATTTATTAATCATGAGAAATTTTAATTATCCACGCATATATTGGTCCAAGGGACTTGTAGTATAGTTAAAGGAAACAGGTTTTTGAACCTGATAAATTATAATTTCATATCTCAATTGTCATAACAAATAATGCTGACTTGTTTTAAAAAATTCAAGTTAGGGAGCACTGGGGACTGTAATAATGACTATAATATGGTATAATTTGAGATAAATAAAAAAATTTAAAATTTCATATGGGCTTTCCAAAACCACTTAATTTTAAAAAGGCAAATTTCAATAAGATAATGGCATTTGTACAACTAATTGTGTGTCAGGAAATATTAACTGTCAAAAAGTTATCACAGAGGATAAATGGAAGGTCATAGAGGATAAATTGAAGGTCGCTACAGACATTCTACAAAAGTACATTTCTCAATGCATACCACTAGGAAATAAATCTAAAATAAGAAAATTTAAATTAAGTACAGGGGTCAGTCAAATGATGAAAGATAAGGAAAAAAAAACATTTAAATCAGAGGCGTTGATTGCATCCTATCAAAAATATAAGCATGCCAATAGGGCTTGCAAAATAGTGATTAGATGGGCTAAACATGAAAATTAAATGCTCATAGCCAAAGAGAGCAATTCCAATTTTCAAAAAGTTTTTTTAATGCCCAAAACCGTTAAGAGTGAAAATATGGTCCATTGGGAACTGTGATGGGTGAGTTAATCAAGGAGGATCAGGACAAAATGGAAATTCTAAATCATTTTTTTTTTTAAGCATATAGGGAAGAAGAATATATGACTCTAGATTTGAAAAAAATCCCTGTTACAAACGTTTACAGCAAACCGATAATTGGTTAATGCAGGATAAAATGTTTCAGAAATTAAATAAAGTTATTGTAAGCAATTCCTCATTGCCAGATGGTATTAACCCATGCATCCTTAGGGAGCTTAGTGTAGAAATATCTATACCACTGTTCTGGAATTGTACCACAGTATTTGAGAAAAGCAGATGTGGTGTCTATATTTAAAAAGTGTTCATAAACTCAGCCTAGAAACTACAGACCCATGAGCTTAACATATCTGGTTGGGAAAGTATTTAAAGGGCTGTTAAGTAACAATATATTTAACAATAAATTTTGAACAAAAATATAATTAGGAGAAATTAACATGATTTTCCAAAAAACAGGTCATACTAAACTAACTAAATTGCCCTCTATGAAAAAGTTAGTTGAAATATAGATCAGGGTGATCCAGTAGATGGGATCTACTTAGAGTTTTCCAAAGTATTTGATACAGTTCCACACAAAAGGTTACTAGTTAAACTATCTACTTGGATAGAACACTGGCTTAAAGATAGAATGCAGAGAGTAGTTGTCAATGGAACATTTTCAAAGTGGACAGAAGTGTTGAGTGGAATGCCTTAAGGTTCTGTCCTTGGTCCACATCTCTTTAATCTATTTATAAATGATATTGAAATTGGTATTTAAAGTCATTTGTCGGTGTTTGCAGGTGACATAAAACTAGGTAAGAAAATACTGTCTGAACATTATACAACTTCTCTACAGAGGCATTTGGATAATTTGGGGAACTGGGCAGGCAAGCGGTAGATGAGAGTCAATACAGATGACTGCAAAATTATGCATTTTGGCATAAACAACCCACAAATCACTGATACATTAAATGGGATAGAGCTAGGGATAACATTAAATGAAAAGATTGTGGGAACAATTATAGGTCATAAACTACGCAGTAGTCAATGCCAGACTGTCTTTGCAAAAGATAGTAAGGTGCTTTTGTGTACAAACAGGTTTTTTT